CCCACTCCATCACAAAGAAACAGAATTTCCGGAGGATGAGGCCCAGAAATCAGGATTTTAAAAAGTTTCCCAGGTGATTCTAATGTGCAGCCAAGGTTGAGAACCACTGCTCTAAGGCCTCCATGCTTAGAGCCAAGAATGCCCTCCCCCCGCCTTCACCAAGTGCACCACCCCTGCTTCTGAAGCCTTCACAAGCCCTCCCAGGCTGGAAGCCGTCCCTCCCACTGGGTTCCTGTAGCACCTATGTATCCAGCTGGAGGTCTGGCTGGGGTCTGGTCCTCACAGCCCTGGGCCCAGGATCCTGGGTGCCTCGCCACGCACCTGTGGCCCCTACCACAATGTGCGTGCCCTGAAGCCAGGGACCAGGTCTGTCTACCTCTGCACCCCCTGCATGTAACACAGCACCTGGAACAGAGCTGGCATCGCTCAGCACTCCACGGGAGTCTCAGAAGATGTCCCGAGTGCACGGGGCTCGGGCCTGGCTGCTTTCTTCTCCCTCTGATCGCTCTCTCCAGGGACCACATCCTCCCTGGATGCCAGTGTGTCTGGATGTCCTCAGTTCCCCCCCAGGGATACGGACTAGCATGTGGCGGCCTGGCAAGGCAGTGCCAGGGAAGCACTGGGCTGAATGGACCAACGAGAACCCTCTCCTGAATGCATCAGAGAGAATTACAGAAATCCCCAGAAAGAATTGTTCCGCCTGTAACCCCCCACGTCACTGCTTTGAAGAATAACACATCCCAGCAGCTTGGTCCTGAGAGTAACTAAAAAGAGCAGTTCCACTCAAATCTTACCTTGAAGGTTTTATCCAGAGAAGCCGAGAGGAACATGTGGCTCTTTGAAAAGACAGGGCACCACTGGATGCTGCTGACGGGGCCCTTGTGGCCATGCAGGTGGAAGAGCACCTTCTGGGATATCTGGGTTTCCTTGTACGGGGTGCCCAGGTACGGCTGGATGTACTCGGACACTTGGGGGGCTGTGCACAGAGGGCGCGGGGCACGCAGAGAGGGGCCCCGGGCCTCCGCATCTTTGTTCTTGCCTGTTTCTGTGCTTAATGCTTGCGAGCGTCGCAGTCTCTTCGGGGTGTAGGGCACAATACAGTCCTCTCGCCTTTTCTTCTGAAGAGAGCTGCCACTCTTCCCCGGGGTCTCAGGTTTGGGTTGGGCACCGAAAGGTGGCTCGGGGGGGTCGTAAGTTCCCCAGGAGAGTCTCACCTGCTTCAAGCAGGCGGCGGCCCGGGGCACATGGCCAGCGGGAGCGTGGCTGGTCCACAGGGAAGGACGAGGAGGCTCGCTTGTGGGGAAGGTGACGTCGGGCTCTGTCCTGGGCCACTGTAGCCTCTGGCTGGGGCAAGATCCTGGGTCGCTCCTCCAGAGCCGAGCCAGTGGGAGACGCTGGCCGGCTGGGTCTTCACAGGAGCCGTGCTTTGTGGGCAGTGTGCCTCCTGTCCCGTCCAGGACTCCCGATGCGAAAGCCTGGCCACGAGGTTCAACCGTAACACAAGAGTCCTTCCTCTGGCCAGCGGCAGCAAAGCTTCCCGCAGGCTCGCTCTCAGCCTCGGAGTCTGAGTCATCATAAGCCACCAATGAAGCCATTGAAGACACTGTGTCCCGCTGTCCCTCGTGGGCAAACGACCTAAGACCAAAATCAGGTGTCAGAAAGCGTGCCTTGAAAAATAGTTACCACCATGCAAAGTTAAAAGAAATCATGCCATCTAGCAAATCTAAGACAGAAAAAACCGTAAGAATAAACACATAAAGCATGAGGGCTTTTCTATACATCAGGCATAATTAATTAGAAGGGGTCATTTTCCTATGGAAATATGGGAATAAATTTAACCCCCTCCCCCCCAAATTAGCAAGACCTACATGAAGAAAACAAAAGCTTTATTGAAAGACATAAAATAGGACCCAAGTACCTGTAGACACGATGCCTGGACAGAAAGACCCGGGACTTTAAAGATGCCTGTTGGTGCAATATACAGATGATGTATTATAGAATGTATACCTGACACTATATAAATTTATTAACCAATGTCACCCCAATAAATTCAATACAAAAGAAAAAAAGGAAGAGGAACCAGGAAGTGCCAGCCAAATGACCCAGATGCTGGCAACCTTTCCACCACAAAAAAAGAAAGCATAATTATGGGGTGTAATAGCATTGTTAGCTAATGCTATGGTGGTACTCATATTGCAATATATTAATGTACCAAATCAGCACGTGTGTTCCTTAAACTTGCACAATGGTATCTTAATAAAAATTAAAAACGTAAACATAATAATTTTAAAAATAAAGAAACCTTTGGAAGGGCAATTTGGGGAGTACCTATTACAAACGGAAACGTATATCGTTTTTACTGCAACGTCCCCACTATAGAACTGCATCCTACACAAATACCTGCATATGTTTGCAAAGACAGATGTACAAAGAGCCTGCAGCTTATTGGCCATTCAGTCATCAACAGGGATGAGGTTAGGTCTGAAAACCCTGAAATGGAAAGATCCACCAGGTGGGGAGAGCGTGCGACCCTCACCTCTGCCCTCTCTCTGGGCTCCTCCTTCCTTGTATTCTCTCTGGGACTCTCCCCCAGATACCCCATCTCCACTCGAAGCCAGTTGGAGTGACAGACCCACAAGCCCAGGCGGAGGGGCCCGAGGGTGTCATCCAAACCTGCCAGTTTCACTCCAACACACAGACTCACACAACAGGGAGTTTCCCCTCCCTAAAAAAATCTTTCCTGAAATTCTGAGCCATCATGCATGATAAAACGGCCACCAGTTAGTTTCTAGAAGGAAGTATTCCATCTGGAGTTCAGTTCTGTGCTGTTAACATGAACTCGCCTCAAGAGGAAAACAAGGATGCGGGAAACGTCCCGTCCCGGACAGCAGAGGGCGCGGTGGAGCAGCGTGGAAAACTTCAGTGAGGACCAACTTCTGACAAAGCCCAGTGTGCCCGCCCTCCTTAATAGACGGCTGAACGCCTCCTCCCCTGGGTGTGGTCAGGTCAGCGCCAGAGGAGTCCCTCTGGGTCATCAGTCAAGCCATTCCAGACAGCCTGTCCCCCCTTAGAGAGGGATTTCACGTCCCCTGGAATCCAACACCCCACCCCTTCCACGCCTTCCCCCCAAAGGGTGCCATTCACCCCAAACAAGCTAGGTCATCTGCCTCCTCCCCAAATCCCACCCTCACCTGCAGCCCAATCCACACACCAAGCCATCCTCTAAAATAAACTTCTCAAACAGGCCGGCCCGTCTCAGATGGAACTAATATAACATAGTGGGCTAACTACACACTAATGGAACTGAGCACTGTGGATTACTTGGCACTTGTGTTTTCTAAATACCCATCTGATCAGACATCTCAACGCCTGTGCACAGCATCCCATTCCTTCCTGTCAAAGGGAACCCAGCAGGCTCCCGCCACCAGGGCTGGGCGCCTGTGCTTGGCCATTAGGATGGATTCTCACCCACTCAGCCCTCCACAGTGGTTCCCTCACAGAAGCCCACGGCCAGAATTAAAGACGAGGTCTACAGCCAAAGATCAGAGAGCAGTGGGATTGGGGGCCCCCTAGCCCTGCTTCCTAACAAGGCAAGGCAGCGAGGATGGCATGAACGCAGGAGGGTGGGCGGCAGGGATGTCAATACTACCTACTTCACGTGCCTTTCATTCGTTCAGTAAACACTGACGCAGAACGGCTACTCACCAAGCCCCACACTAGGCACCCAGGGGAACGATGCCCTGCACTCACCATGCTCACATGCCAGTGGCGAGAAAGATCCTAATCAATGAAATGGGGGGTGTCAGGGGGTGAGAAATCATAAGGAGAGAAGTAAAGAGAGGGGAATAGAGGTGGCAGTGGGTGTGGGGGTTCATTGAGGGAGGCTGAGGCAGAGCTAGGACAGGTGACACCTGAATAATGCTCCGAGGAGGGCAGGGAGCAGATGGCGAGAAGCAACAAATCCGATCAAACGGGGTCAGAGAGAAGGGAACCAAGATGACTCGAAGAAAAGAGGCAAAAACAGGGAGCCAGTGGGACAACCAAATTTTAGAAGAATGTTTTTATGTTTCTAAGAATATGTTTTTATGTTTCTAAGGCAGTGGTTCTCAACTTTCCTAATGCCGCGACCCTTTAATACAGTTCCTCATATTGTGGTGACCCCCAATGTCATTGTTACAAATTGAACATAATTAAAGCACAGTGATTAATCACAAAAACAATATGTAATGATATATGTGTTTTCCGATGGTCTTAGGCGACCCCTGTGAAAAGGTCGTGCGACCCTCAAAGGGGTCGCGACCCACAGGTTGAGAACCGCTGCTAAGGCAAAAGTAGGGGGAGGAAATTTTTTCATGGAAGGACGGGGTGATTACACAGAGAGGAAGAGGTACAGCTAGAAGAAAAGGAAAGCTCACGGGAGAAACGGAGCGGGGCGTGGCAAGGACCCTCCGCAGCCCGGCAGCTGCCTGAGGACAGGAGTTTTCGTGTTTTGCTCACTGTTGGGTCCCAGCACCGGATGGGAGGGGCACAGAGAAAGTAAAAACACAGGAGATTCTCATTCAACAAGCATTTCCCAGTTGCCCTCTCTGTGCCAAGCTTTCTGTTGGGTCTGATGTTGGGCCAGAGACTAAACGCGAAACACGGATCCTACGCCGGAGGCCACAGACTAATGAAGAGAACAAACAAGATACGACCAGAGCTGGGTTTTGAAGAATGAACAGGAGTTAGCCGAGCTGTCAAGAGCGAGAGGTTAAGGGTGATCCCGAGTACGGCGCGTTCGGAAAGAGCCTGCGATGAAGGGGAGGACAGCGGCGGTGAAAGGTCCGCGACAAGGGGCGCGGAGGGCTCGCGCCGCTGCCGGGCAGCACCCTCCCGCCCCAGGCCCGCCGCTCACCACACACACCGGAAGCGCTCGGTCCTCCCGGAGCCGGTCCTCCCGGAGCCGGTCCTCCCGGAGCCGGTCCTACCTGCACTCCGCCCCCCAGTCGTGTTCCGCCAGCGCCGAAGCATCCAACCAATCAGCGGTGGCCTCCGTCCCGCCCCGCGAGAACAGCCAATGATGGCGCAGCCGGGCCGGAAGTGCTTCCGGCCGGACGGCGTTTCCACGGACGCTTAGGAGACGCCTGGACGCGGAACCGGCGGCGCCGACAGGCCCACATGGGCCGGTAAGTGCGGGAGGAAGGGAAGGAGGGAGGGAGAGAGGGAGGAGCGGCGACCGATGGCCCGCCCTCCCGGAGCCGCCTGCACGCCGGGATCCGGAGTATCCTGAGAGCCCGGGTCGCTGCCACCACGCCCCTCGCCCCCTGCGCCGCCGCCGCCGGCACCGACCCTTCATCCTCTCCTCCTCCTCTTCTAGCGTCTGCCACGAGCCAGGGGCTTTGCTTTTAATATCACCCTCAGTCCCCTCCACGGTAAAGGAAGGAGGCTCCTGTATGCCCATTTCACAGCAGAAGAAACCGAGGATGAAGCAGAGAGGTAACCTGACTTGCCCCAGGTGTTGAAATCGAAACATGCCAAAGCTGGTTTTGAAACCCTGGCCCGCGTGATCCCGGGGCTGATCTCTCCACCGCACGGCGCCGCCTCGGCGCACAGTAGCCGCAGGGCACATACAGCCCTCCTTTCCGCCCCCCACGACCCCATGTAAACTCGGTTCTGACCTTGAGACTGAGGGTGTGAAACGGGAAGCTGTGGCGAGGAGGTTATGTGGAGGCCAGCGTGCGCTATGGGGTGGCTGATGCAATGACCAGCTAATAGTTCGGCTCTCGAGTGGGTTTCATTGGTCTCTATCCTCACCCCTTCCCCCCCCCCCCCCCACACACACAGCCCCTGATTGGACTGTCTCGTCAGGAATTGGTCAAGAGGCTCAAGTATTTAAGAGAAACGGGGTGATTTCTAAGAAACGCCTCCTGCAAAGAGTTGCAGGGTGGGGTAAACAGAAAGAAAAGAGAATAAAGGGGCTTTTTAAAAAAGGAAACTGAAAGTAAGAGGGGGAAAGAGTATAAAAGAAGAGCCTGCTGCCCTGGGAGTCTCCACTCCTCCAGTGGCCACCTCTGCAGTGTCTCGCTCAGACCAGGTACGTACTGCCTGCCATCTTTTGTCAGGCTTGCAGCTTATTCGTATTTTTGCCAGCCTTTTACCAAAGTGCTGGAAACCTTGGCTTAAAGAGTGAGAGATTGTCTCTCTTGGGATCGGGGTGTTGTACACTTTGTTTCAACCCACTGACCTAACGTTCAGGTGATTCACAGCTTCCCTAGGGAATGGAGTCCTGGGGGAGCCGGTGCCTGTTTGGATTCATGGTCAGCGTTTTAGCACCTTCCTGTTGGCTGTCGTATTTTTCACTGACGAGGCCTCCTCCTTAAGTAGTCATTATCCAAACATATTAGCCGTCTCGTTGTGATACTCAAAAATGCCTTATGCCTGACTTCCTATAGCTTAATGTCTTCTTTGCCTTTTAAGATGATGTTCATTTTAGTATTTGGAGAGAAAAGTAACCTTTCCTCTCAGTGTTCAGAAAAGGAAAAGTGAACACCATCTGTTCTAAGGTTCGAAGGGTTAAAGAACACCTTGCTCTGAAGAAGTCACCTTCCTGTCCTCTGGGAACTTGATGGATGTGAAGGATGGTACCCCCCCTCTGGTGGCATCCAGGCATCTAGACACTCCTGGTTCTCCTTCTTGGCTGTCCCCGGCTGCTCCAGAATTGGCTATCTTGAGGCCACCTACCCCCAAAATTGCAGAATGGGTGTGTTCTCATCTTATCTGGGAGATGAGATCACTGTCATGTTCCATGGTGCCGTTCTGTGATTCTTTTCATCCCAATTTCTTCGGGTGCCTGCTACGCTCCTCCACAATGGAACCTTTCAAAATGAGCACAAGATCCATGTTGTTTAGAAAGGAATTGAGAGTTAATTTTTCAGAGCCTGGTGGCTTTGTCTCCAAGGTGTGCTGTGGTCCCCTGGGGAGTATGCCGTATTGGTCTTTACACGCCCCATGCCTTTGTAGCGGAGGTAATAGATGACCTCGCAGATTACAGCTTCATTTCTTTGTTTTAGATTATAGGCTTGGTTAAGTAGTGAAGCAGCTTTCCTTAACAAAGACTCAAAGCCCTGTGTGCAGTTTATGGGGTTAACACTTAAGACACGGTCCTTAGCCTTTTGGCATCTCAGAAGCCTTTCGAAAAAGTAATGAAACCTGGATACTCTGCTTAGAACCCCATTTATACCTGCGTGCATGCCAAAAGTGATGTAATTCCAGAGGTTCCAAACTCTGGGTTAAAAACCTCTCACGGTAAACTTAATTCTAAAAGTTAGTTAACATGCCCTGACCGGTTTGGCTCAGTGGATAGAGCGTTGGCCTGCGGACTGAAGGGTCCCAGGTTCGAGTCTGGTCAAGGGCATGTATCTTGGCTGTGAGCACATCCCCTGTAGGGGGTGTGCAGGAGGCAGCTGATCGATGTTTCTCTCTCATCGATGTGTCTAACTCTCTATCCCTCTCCCTTCCTCTCTATAAAAAATCAATAAAATGTATTTAAAAGTTAGTTAACAAAGAAATAAAGGAGGATATTGAGTAGATGGGAGAAACGGTGGCAAATGGGTGGGTGCAGGAAATGAGAGAAAGAGCAGCTCTGTTCTCCTTGTCTCTGACCATTCCTGATGCACTCACTCACAAAGTTGCATCAGAAACACACACACACACGCTTTATAGTGTGGGGATTCCCATGCAGTGAGTAGCTGCCTTGTGATCACAGGAGCAGGGAGACCTCCTCTTTCCCTCACTCGGGTTTAGTTCCCACGTGCCTCTTCTTAAATGGGATTCTGATATTTAAAGATACCTGTTTTCTTCCCTGCAACACGGACCCTAAACGCAGGCCCAGTGTGTCTGGTTGATCCCCTGCAGTGACCTGCTCCATCACAGGGAAGATCGGCTGTCCGGGGATCACCCAGTCATTGTACCTGGCACTTTCCCTAGGAATTTTTAAGGGTAATTTCCATCTGTACTTGATTTTGGTCCTACTCACAGACTAGACCTTGACTGATAATGTTGATGAGATGCTGTAGGAACTTAACTCTTGTTTATATCAGTTACCCTAGGATAAAATTGGTTCTGTGTCATTTTGCTTAACCATTTGTACACCCTACTCATCTATAATTAAATTCAAAATATCGTGGCAGTTAACTGGGTAAAGTGGCAGAATCTATTGATGACGTTACATGAGGACTTACTGAACTGTGCACCCGGCTTTCAAAGTTGGGGAAATTCAGGATCATGTATAAAGTATCTGCACACGATATTGGATCACTTGTGGCCAGAAGCAATTTTCTTCACTTTGCTATTGGATATGGGCCTGAGTATTTCTCCTCTCTAGTGCCAATTAGAAGGTTCTTCCACATTCCTTCCCTTTTTTACAAACTTCCCTGAACTGAGCTTTGTTATCTGAGTCAGTTTGTTATCTCAGCAAACTTCCCTTTCTGGGAATTGAGATGGTTTGCAGCAAGGAAGGGAAAGAAACCCATCCTGGTTTCAGTATTATGGTCTCTAATTATACAAAGAATGGTTTCATTGAAATTCACATACTTTTGAAATAAATATTTAACAATGGATAAATAAAAGTAAATTACCCCTCAAATATATGTTTGATTCATAGTTACTAGGGGAAAAAATTTTTAATATGTTTTTATTGATTTGAGAGAGAGATAAAGAGGAGGGAGGGGGGAGAGAGAGAGAGAGAGATCAGTTGCCTCGGGCACACACCTTTACTGGGATCAAACCCAAAACCTGGGCATGTACCCTGACCAGGAATGGAACCGTCACCCTTCTGGTGTATGGGATGACACAGCCAACTGAGCCACACCCACCAGGGCCAGAAAACAATTTTTTAAGAAACAAAGTAGTTGTTCATTAAACCTCCACCCAGGGCCCATGCTGGGCTTAGACTGTTTACCTCCCTGCATCATCGCACTTAGCCACGCACCGTCCTGCAGTTAGTGTTGTGCCTGTTCCACTTCACGTTTGAGAGGCTGAGGCTCATTCCAGTAGCTGACCTGTGAGTGATAGTTGAGGGTGTGGACTCTCAGATCAAACTGCGTCAGTGTGTTGTGTTACCTTGGGAAAGTTTTTTAACCTCTCTGTGCCTCAGTTTACTCACATGTGAAATGGAGATAAATCGAGCTCATAAGGCTTCGGTGAATTGATATGTGTACGGTGCTTAGAACAACACCAAGTACAGAAGTGCTGGGAGAGCTGCTCTGCCATAGCCTCCTGTTATCCTCCGTGTTCTAGGTATAGCAGCAGGTATAGGTGGAGGGGGGCTCAGCCCGGCCCTGGAGCCCTCACGCACAATGCTGGTGATAGATTTAGTTCTTGCTTTACAGTTTACAAAGTGTCACCATATCCTTTTTTCTCATTTCTTCTCATAGCAGCCCCTGAGGTAGGTGCAGAGGTTCCTGATGGTGTGACTTCTTAGATGAGGAAGCTGACACTCAGAAAGGGGAAGTGACTGACCCAGGAAGGGACTGATGTGGCCCGCCTTTGCCCCAAGGCAGCATGGGGTGGCCTCCCCTGTGCGCCCCTCCCCCTCAAGGTTAAGAGTAAATAATGACTATTAGGTACATCTTCAAAGTTTTGTTGTTAAGTAAGGCAGCAAGTCTAATGGACAGGTTATATATAGTTCTTACCTCATTGGGAACCCAGCAGGGTAAGGCTCCGCCCTCTACCCCAGACCTTGCGTGTCTGAGAACCGAGCAGCTGGCCAGCCAGGAAGCCATTTGTTCAGCGGTAGGTTGGTCAGAGCAGCAAAGGTCTGGGAACTTGTCCGCAACGCAATTAAAGAGTAAAGAGCAATTTGACAAATGGGTTTGGGGCTATTAAACTTGGGGTTAGTAAAGCCCTTTGGTGTTTGCCCCTCAGCGAACACAAGTCCTGCCTCTGTCCTGGGCCCTGCACGGGCACACTCGGGCTTGGTTAGGAAGGGCCTCCTTTGCAGTCCTGAAAGCTGTAAGGCAGCAGTCCCTTTCGTCCTCATTATTGGCATTTGTTCTTCCTCTTTCCCCCTTCTTGATGGCCCCAAATTTCCATTTAAATTTTTATTAATGTTATCTTATCCATATTCTTTATTATAACTCAACCTCTACTCTTCTGGGGTAGAAGAAGAAGTAGAGATAGGAAAGAAAACACAGCTGCAGCGGTTTATTAATCTCTCTCCCTTCTCTCCCTCTTCTCCCACAGTCTGTCAGGACCACTGAGCGACTCTTCCATTGCCCAGCTGTAAGCCTCGGTCTTCGGAGATGGCTGATGAGCAGGGGTGTGCCTCCCCGCTGGAGCTGTTCAACAGCATCGCTGCCCAGGGGGAGCGCGTGAGAGCCCTCAAAGCCGGGCAGGCGTCCAAGGTGGGTGGTTTTGCTGAGCTCTTCCTGTGCATACAGCCGAGTCTGTTGGATTGTGTGTCCTGGGAGCAGACTCAATAACTGACTATAACGATATTGGCTATAATCTTACATTTGTCTTCTCCTTTATCAACATTATTGATGCATGTGAGGTAAAAAAAAAAAAAAAAAAGCCAGTGAAATACAGTAGTCATCCACCCGCCCATCCTCATTTCCTGCTCCCAGAAACACGTACAGTCAAACCTCGTTTCTCGAATGTCTCCCATCTCGAACAATTTGGTTCTCAACCAAGTTGTTCACAGAAAAAAATGTCTCAGTTGTCAAACCAAAACTTCATTTTCAACCTGACAACCCTTTCATGCTGATACCTCAACATGACAAAAAGTGTCTCGGGCAGCAAATAAAGGAGAGAACACTATTGTTGCTGTAGAAATCGATGGTTAGCACAGTTTTAAAACATAAACAGGCCATGAGCAGGGCTAATGTTGCTAAGGGTGTGAAAGTGCTCACAAAACTGCAATCACCATCAACTGGACATATAGAAAAACTGTTGTTATTGAATTAGCAAGAAGCAGTTAGCGGTGATAGCATTTCCAAGGCAATGGTATATGAAAAATTCGTTTAAGGCTAGTATGGGGTGGTTTGATAAATTTAAGAAAAGAAATGTGTACTTATAAATAGTACATTAGTCATGTACTGTACATAAGAAAGGGAATCATTTGGGGGCCAGGGACTGATTGATTCAATTTTCATTACTTCTAAGGGGGGGAAATGATTCAGTTTTCAAACAAATCACTTCTCGAACAGCCTTCTGAAACAAATTAAGTTTGAGAAATGAGGTTCCTTTGTATTTTCAATTCTTTTAGCTGCTGCTTTTAATATATAATCCCCATGTCTCTAAAAAACCACCCTCATTACATTGCTCCTTGTTGATTGCCTAGGTGACGGCTGTGACTGTGGGAAATGAGGAACTAGCACTTGCACAAACATTCTCCTTCCCTCCCGTCTCCTGATATCTGAGTCCCTTGGTCGATGTTAGCATTGACCTTATTCTGACCCTGGCAACGCTACCGGCAGACCCACTGGGTGTACAGAGGGCTTTTCCTTTCCTGCCCAGCTCATTTTCTCTGGCGTCAGTTTATCCTGATTCTTTTTGCTTGGCTTTTTGATGGACTCATGGTAATGGGTCCAAGCTCTCCCCCTCGGTTGAGTGAATTTCTGTAACTATTCTTGTCAGCCTATGCAGACTCAGTATAGTGGAGCAGAGGATCTTGTCACGCGTGGTCTCTGCATCACTCTTTGGTGTAGTGACTGTCATAAACAGTGTAGATGTGTTACTGTGTCTATCCCCACAGTGCTTGGTGGTAATCCGTAGCACTAGAGCAGTGGTTCCCAAACTTATTTGGCCTACCGCCCCCTTTCCAGAAAAAATATTACTCAGCCCCTGGAAATTAATTTTTTTTAAATTTTAATAGCAGTTACTCATCGCCCCCAAATGCACCTGTGGCCATCACCGCCCCCCTGGATCGCTGCAGCGCCCACCAGGGGGCAGTAGCGCCCACTTTGGGAATCACTGCACTAAGGGACAGGTAAAAATAGAATGCATTCAGGCCCACTCTTGCTGTGTGTCCATGGGCAAGTTCCTTCGCCTCTCTGAGTCACAAGGTTCTTCAACTGGAAAAGGACAGTGACAATGAGTCCTGCCTCCCAGGGTTGCTGTGAGACTAAATGAAGCAACGTGTGTGAAAGCAGCACACGGTGCCTGCCACGTGGCAGCAGTGACATTCAGCAAAAGGTAGCTACTGTCAATATCTTCATCCTCACCCGATTTCCTGTGTCCAGGATGAACTTGATTCTGCGGTGAAGAAGCTGTTATCACTAAAAATGAGCTACAAAGCGGCCATGGGGGAGGACTACAAGGCTGACTGCCCTCCAAACAACCCGGCACCTGCGGGGGATAGTGGCCCAGATGCCACGGAAGCTGAAGAGGATTTTGTGGACCCGTGGACGGTACAGACGAGCAGTGCAAAAGGTGTTGACTATGACAAGCTCATTGGTACGTCCTGGGAAAAGCCCAAACTTTTAGTAGTGATTCCATTGGTGTTTTTAATATTAATCATAAATCCAGTCAAGCTTCAATGCCACGAACAAAATATATATCCTAAAATATTTTGATGGTGCATTATATTCCTAAAGGATTGTTAAATAAAGTAACAAAATAAAGCTTATTGCAAAATAATGATCTATAGCAGATAACTTAGTAGTACCATTTCCCTTTTTTAACAGTTCAGAACTTGAGAAAGGTCTGTTGAAATAGGTACCTTACAGTTCAGTGTTTCATACATGATAAGCAGAAGGCTTCCTGAAATTCACTTGGTGGTGACAAGTCAGTCACAGATTACCTAAGTGTCTCCCCCAGTGATGCCGTTTATGTAGCTAACAGTCTAGAACTCAGCGGAAGGGGGTCACTGCTCACAGGTGGCCCCTTGTCACTGCCAGGGCCTTCCTTAAGGGGCTTCTTGCTCAGGAAAGTCCTCACTCTGCGGTCATTGCTAACCATCAAAGAATCAACCAAAACGTTCTTACCAAGTCACAGCCATTTTCTGTGATTTTCAAGTATAAACTATCAATAAGGGAAAATTCACTTGAGGACAGGCGTTAATTCACTTCAACAATTAAAAGATATTAAAAAATATAGTTGTCAGTGTATATAAATTTTACCTTAGTGAGTAATAAGGAACTGTGTGTGCGCGCGCACGTGAGAAGCTGCTAGCTAGACTGCGTTCTAGATGTGTTTCCCATCAGAATCCAGTCCCAGACAGAACAGCATTTTAGCCTGTAATTTGTTTTCTGTTTTGCTGGTTGTGATCTCAGCTGTCTTGTTAGTACAAAAGACCCTGGACTTCATGTTGGGGGAAAGGACCGGGAGCAGAGGCCTCAAGGGTTTGGTTCATTAGCACTGCGATGTTTTTTCCTTAATGCCTGGTCCCCAAACCTCCCACCACCTAAGACAGTCATCTCTTCTTTTTCCCAGTTCGGTTCGGAAGCAGTAAAATTGACAAAGAGCTGATAAACCGAATAGAGCGAGCCACGGGCCAGAGACCACACCGCTTCCTGCGCAGAGGCATCTTCTTCTCACACAGGTGAGCCTTCCCCGAGGACTTCTCACCCTTCCTCTCGAATTCAAAGAGGGATGGGCCCCAGCCGGTGCGGCTCAGTAGTTGAACATTGATCTATGAACCAGGAGGTCCCGGTTCAATTCCTGGTCAGGGCACATGCCGGGGTTGTGGGTTCTATCCCCTGTGGGGGGCATGCAGGAGGCAGCCAATCAATGATTCTCTCTCATCATTGATGTTTCCATCTCTCTCTCCCTCACCCTTCTTCTCTGAAATCAATTTTTAAATAAGTGTGTGTGTGTGTGTGTGTATATATATATATATATATATTTTTTTTTCTAAGTGATTGGGGCTATTACCTCAGGCTGCCTGATACTCTGTGAAAATGGAAGGCAATTGTCAGAGACTCGGACCCACCTCTCCCTGTCAGTAACATGTCCCTTCACCCTCTGGCCCTTAGTTTATTCATCAATAAACTGTCCATTTCACGCCCCTAGCTGGTTTGGCTCAGTGGACAGAGTGTCAGCCCTCGGACTGAAGGATCCCTGGTTTGGTTCTGGTCAAGGGCATGTACCTTGGTTGCAGGCTCGATCCCCACCCCTGATTGAGGCACGTGCAGGAGGCAACCAATCGATGTGTCTTTCTCACATCAATGTTCCTCTCTGTCTCCCCCTCTTCCTTCCACTCTCTCTAAAAATCAATGGAAAAATATCCTTAGGTGAGGATTAAAAAAAAAAACTGTCCACTTCACAAGGTGGAGGTTACATTCATAGAGGATGAGATTCGTGCCAGATTGTGTCCAAGTTCAGTGTTTCCTACAGGATAAGCAGAAGGCTTCCTGAAATTACGTCCTCTCTTCCTTCTGTTGTGCGGGCCTGCTCATAAATAATATCAAAAGAGAAACTAATAGAGCGTATCTGCAACCAGATACCCCCACTTTAGACCGTAAGTGCCACGCAGACAACAGAAAATGAGCAGCTTCCAGGGGGTTTCTACTTCTCCCACCTGACAGATCACCTTGGGTTCGGGCCAGCCCATCTTCGAGGCTGTGTTCATGGAATTTATGGTCCAAGGTAGGGCGTTCTGCTCTCTCCCACTCACGGCTGCAGGAGCCCACACAGGTCACAGGTCGGCAGTCTGCCCCACACTTCAGATTCTGTGGCAGAGAAATCCAGGCCTCGTTCGCCTTCCCCACGGGCAGAATGTAATCAGAGCTCTTTCCTAAATGAGACTTAGTTCACCCTCCCCAAGTATACAATTCAGTGGTTTTCAGTCTATTCACAAGGTTGTGCAACCATCGCCACTATCTAATTCCAGAACATTGTCTTCACCCCAAAAAAACCCCTACCCATTAGCAGTCAGTCCCCATTCCTCCCTCTCCCCCACCACCACTGGCAACCGTGAATCTCCTTTCTCTGTCTGTGTACTTACCTGTCCTGCACATTTCGTATAAATAGAATCACACGCCCAGCCGGTGTTGCTCAGTAGTTCAGTGTCAACCTGTGAACCAGGAAAGTCATAGTTCAATTCCTGAACAAGGCACATGCTCAGGTTGCGTGTTCGATCCCCAATGTGAGGCCTGCAGGAGGCAGCTGATCAATGATTCTCTCTCATTGATGTTTCTATCTCTCTCTCCCTCTCCCTTCCTCTCTGAAATCAATAAAAATATATATTTAAATAGAAACACACAACATGAGGCCGTGGGTGCCTGGCTATTTCAGGGAGCGTGTTTTCAAGGCCCATCTGCACTGTAGCTTGTGTCAGTTGATGGAGGTGTAGGACTTGAAGCTTTTGGCCATTCTCAAATTTAAGAACACCCCCTATCTAATTTTATCATCTATAAAATAGGGGATTCGATGAGATACAGCACCCAGTGTCCACCTGCAAACAGACCATAGGTGCTGCCTGGGCGCCCTCCCCCGCTGAGTGAGTCCCTACCCCAACCATCCTCACAAGGCTTCCAGAAACGGGAGCCTCATCCACTCCAGCCAGTCCCTGAGGCACCCCGCCCAGACCTACTGCACAGCGAGTGCTCAGAGACGCCCCACAAAGGTGGCCAGTCCGCTCAGGTGGCCACTGCCTGCTCTTCTCTAGAAGCCCAACAATTTGATTTGTTAGTTGTGAAAGCCAAAGAAGGACTCCCTCCAAAATTGTGTTTTACTATTTCCTTATTTCAGAGGTGGTGTGTTCATTCCGGGGGGTGGGGGGAATAAAAATGAAGCACAGAAAAGCAGACTGCTTGTGGTCCTATCAGCCAAGCTGAGCAGCCACCCTGGCACAGGGTGGAGTCCCATTTGCAGGCCACCAGACCTCCGGAAAAGGTCACTGTTCCCCTGTTACTTTGGGAATCTTGGCCCAGAAACAAGGGACAGTCACACCCCAGAGTGGTGGTTTCGCACCTTTTATAAATACAGATGCCAGATGTCACAACCGCCCTGAGAATCAGCATCTCTGAAGGCGGGGCCTGGGCAGGTGCAATGTGGAAACAGCAGCCACGTGCTACTGAGGCAAAGTCAGGAAGGAGGACCCTCGTGTGCCTTGTGGACCCCAGTCCTGGGGAGGGCGGTTGATTCCAGAGTGATTCCCAGATGAAGACACCTGGTCCCACCTGGCTGGGGGAGCTGGGCGCATTTCCCAGTCCCCTCCCTAAGGCAGGGCTCTGTGGAACCTCTGATGTCCCCAGGCTGGCTCTCCGGAGCCACAGGGCTGGGTGATTCTAAACAGTTACTGCACAGTGTTGGCCTGGTGTCACCCAGGCAGTGTACAAAGCAGGTGGTGTATCAATGTTGATATTTGGAAAAATTCCGAGAGAGTTCCAGTGGCTGCCCAATTGCGTCCATCTCTTAAACACATTATCCCGAGCTCCCATGTCTTCTGCTCTGAAAACAAGCACCGGAGAAACCATGTCAGTAGAACCATTACAGACACACCAAGAACAGCAAACTAGTTCTTTCCTGTGTTTGTCTGAACGTTGCCAAGTGAGCATTAGCACCTCGACTTTTTCCCCAGAAAAATCAGTTCCCTCTCTCCTCTTTCCTTCAGGGACATGAACCAAGTCCTCGATGCCTATGAGAACAAGAAGCCGTTTTACCTGTACACGGGCAGGGGCCCCTCTTCCGAAGCCATGCACGTCGGCCACCTCATCCCGTTCATCTTCACAAAGTGAGTCCTGGCTCTGTGACTCTCCTCGCTGTTATTAGCACGTCAGGAGCGTGGGTATAAGCTGTGTCTAGAAACGACAGGACAGGACCAGTCCACGTTTCCTGAACAACCACAGTGTCAGGGACGTGGCGCCTCTGTGGCCTCCATTCACTCGGTTCGTTCCTGGTGTCACTTTAGAGGGACATGGGTGACGGAGACGCTCACACCGGTGCCACATCGTCTCTTCCCTATCCATGGGACCATAGGCCAGTGACGGCCCTGAGCCTTAGGTTCCACCTCTGCGAGATGGAAATAATAACACCTGCCTCGTCAAATCACTGTAAGGCTACAAATAAGGCATGTAAAACAGCGAGCCTAGAGCTGATGTGCAGGGCGCTCTGAGTTAGTAACTGGCAATGCCCTTAACGTTACCGATAATCAGATAAACAGCATGCTAAGATCATGTAATTTTGCAGACAAGGAGGCCTTGATGCAAGTTGTTCGTTGGAACTGTGTTTTCAGATGCCAAAGGGCGTTTTTCTTCAGGGGAAACGAGATGTCAGCCTCTCCCCGTGTCTCTTAGGTGGCTGCAGGACGTGTTCAACGTGCCCTTGGTCATCCAGATGACGGACGACGAGAAGTACCTGTGGAAGGACCTGACCCTGGACCAGGCCCATGGCTACGCCGTGGAAAATGCCAAGGACATCATCGCCTGCGGCTTTGACATCAACAAGACCTTCATCTTCTCTGACCTCGACTACATGGGGTACGGAGGGAGCGCATGGCTGCCTTTTGGATGAGCAGAGGTGGACATCAGGTCCTCAGGACGGCTCAGTCTGAAACATCTCGGGTGGTCTCAGGCCCAGTGGCTGTTTTTCTGCTTTTAGTGAGTGTTGTGACCTGGGGTAGTGGCTGCGATTTTCATCCTCAGCTGCTGACAGCGAAGTACTCTGCATTGTAGTCGCTCTCCAAGGATGATCTGTCTCACCAAGTTAGGGTCTTTGTCTCTCCTCACAGAGAAGACTCCCTGGTTACACATTCCCTCCCAGTCTAGGATTTTAATCTGTCTTTCATTTATTTCATTTTTTTAAATTTATTTCAGAGAGAGGAAGGAAGAGGGAGAGAGAGATAGAAACATTAATGATGTGAGAGAATCATTAATCTGCTGCCTCCTACATGCCCCCAACTGGGATCAAGACCGAAACCCAGGCATGTACCCTGACCGGGAATTGAACTGTGACCTCCTGGTTCATAAGTTGATGCTCAACCACTGAGCCAGGACAGCTGGGCCAGTCTAGGTTTTTAAATCAGTTGCTTAAAAGCCCAAATATTTCATTCCAAAAATCCTTAAATTAAAACTCTGAGGTTGAACCTCATCCCAAATGACTACTAAGAAAGTGTTAGAAAATTATTACATTTTTTAAAGTCACTTTTCTTGTGGCCCTAGAGGCACTGCGGTGTCCTGGGAGAAACATGGTCTTGGAAGGAAGGCGGGCCTAGGTTTGAGTCTGGCCACATCTGTTAATGGTCGTGAGACACTTCTGGTGCATGAAATAGGATTACATGTGACCTTAGATGTCACTGTTATTACCATTTCCATAGCACTTCACTTTCTCCCATTCCTTAGAACTCATTCCCATGAGTTCTGTAGTCTCTTCCCTCGGCCCCTGCTATGGCCCCTCAGGACCTCTGGTCCCCTCCAGCCTGCACTCTCTAGATCACAGGTCTGGTCAGGTCCCCCGCTCAGGCCTTTCCCAGCACTCCCTCGTCCTCAAGATCAAGTTCTCACTTCCCTCTGAGCACGCAGCCCCTCTGTGACTGGGCCCGTTCCTGTCTGGTGCTGCTGCCACCTCCCTCCAGATGGAACAGCTCCATTTCCTCCCATTTGTCCATGTTCTTGTCTGCCCAGAGTCCCCTCCCCTCCCAGCTCAGCATTCCTCCACTTTCTTCCAAACCCGTGATCAAGCATCGCCTTGTCCTGGGAGCCGTCCCTGGCAGGCAGATCTAGCACCTGTTCTGCTTCCAGCACCCAAGCTCCTCCTCGGCCACCTCTAATCTAAGGTGCACTGTGAGGGGTGGCCCTCTCCCAGGAGGTCGATGAAACAGTCACCATGTGCTCTCAGTGGCAGGCACCCCCGAGGCCCCGAAAACACGGCAGTGGGCAAAACAAAGTCCCTGCCCCAGTGAGCGTGATGTTAGAGCGTCAGAAGCAAGTCCTCTAGTAGTTACTGTGTGACGTGGGCAGTGAGCTAACCCCTCTCGCCTGCTCGTTCCGCTCATTTATTCAGCAGGTATTTATTGAGCATCTACTACATGCCAGACTGCTGCTGGGATACAGCGGCCAATAACACAGTGAAGCAACCACTCTGTCAGGTTACCTTCCAACCAGCAGAGTCGGGCAGTTCATCAGTAATAGACCAGGTGATAACAAGTGCTGTGAGGAGAAGGAAGGGGGGCTCAGCGGGCAGGAGGCTCGGACCTGTGTCTGATTCTGATGGTGTTTGCAGGATGAGCCCAGGCTTCTACAGGAACGTGGTGAAGATTCAGAAGCACGTGACCTTCAACCAAGTGAAAGGCATTTTTGGCTTCACGGACAGTGACTGCATTGGTAAGGAGCCGCTGCTGCCTGCGCCCGGCCCCAGCCCATCAGAAGGGAGCAGTGGCCCAGAGCTGAGCTGTCGCTGAGATGGTGGCTTCTGCACTTTGTCTCTTTAAATAGTAAACCAGAGGGGGTTTCCTCAGAACATAAGGAGGCAATGTGATGCCCTTGGCCACTGTCCTGGGCATGTGGAGCTGTACCCAGGGTGCCAGTCCGCCCCCTCCCCAGCCATCCATGTAAGGCTTAGAAGAAAGTAGGAAGGGTACAGAAAGCTTGGGAGTTCCTGTGTCCCCGTACTGTGTGCACCCGGGAGCACCTGAGGACCCGAGAGCTGCAGCTGGGCGCCTCTTGTCAAGTGTGATCGCGAGGTCCATACCCTTAGTCCCAGAAGTACCCCCTCTGCAGGTCTCAGCAGATCACAGGAGCATTGTTAACAAAACATTGAGAACTGTTCTGTATCAAGAGAGCATAATTTGTAATAATTAAACGATGAGGAACGATCCGAATGCCCAGTGGGCAGAGAATGGTTAAATGTAGACGATTCGTTTATAGAGTAGAACATATTTAACAACAACCTGGGTAAACACTACAGAGTGAAAAGGGCAAGGGGAAAAAATAGTATAATCACAACTGAAATAAGTAGAAATAGAGAAAACAGGTGAAAAGAGACACAAATTGAGTTGATGGATTTTTTTTTTCTTTTCTGGAGTTTTCTGCTTTTCTGTAATGCTGATTACTTGTCTAACGAGGAGAAAGCCTGTTTTTGCGCCTCCCTTTCCCCGGGTAACCAACCAGACAGGAGCTGCCCATGTGTAAAGGTTCTCTGTCCTCGCTCCCAGGGAAGATCAGCTTTCCTGCCATCCAGGCTGCTCCCTCCTTCAGCAACTCGTTCCCGCAGATCTTCGGGGACAAGACGGACGTCCAGTGCCTCATCCCCTGTGCCATCGACCAGGTCAGGAGGCAGCGGGGTGTCAGGTCTGGGCTGTGCGGGAGGCTCCGGGCACTCACCTGTGGGAAAGGCGGCTTGGGTGGGGGGCTGGGGGATCGGTTCTGTGAACTGGCTGGGGTTGCTGTGAAGGCTGTCAGGTGACGCTGATGGGCTAAAAGCTGGCGTGTTGCTTCCAGCCATCCTCAAAAGGCCCCTCTCTCCCCTAGGACCCTTACTTCAGGATGACGAGAGACGTCGCCCCCAGGATCGGCTATCCTAAACCAGCCCTGCTGCACTCGACCTTCTTCCCCGCCCTGCAGGGGGCCCAGACCAAAATGAGTGCCAGCGACCCCAACTCCTCCATCTTCCTCACAGACACTGCCAAGCAGATCAAGACCAAGGTGAGCACTGCGCTGGGCGAGGGACCGCCTGTGCCCGCAGAACCACATGCTCAGGCACGCGCGCCCCTGCACCAGCGCGCTGTCGTTTCCGTCTCCGCTGCCCCAGGGCCGCTGAAAACTGGCCCCCTGCTGACTTGAGGCCTCCTGTCCCTGTTCCCAGATATCAGGGGAATTTACTTTGTGTCCTTTCACTAAGGCAAAACTTTACATTTTTTTCCCTTTTCTCGTCAGCACTGTGTTCTGGTAGCAAAGTCATGCCGTTTTCTTTGAAGTCACACAGGCAGTAGACAAAAGTCTGTTTCTGAGCACGCGCTGTATTCCGGGGCCAGGCCAGGCACTTTGTTCGTGCTTCCTTGTTCTGCTTCTCGCTGGGTGAGCGGTGTGTTCCTTTAAAGGTGAGAAGGATGAGGCCCAGAGTGGTGACAACTCGGCCAAGTTTCCACTGGAAACCAGCAGAGTGCCCCTGGCCAGGAGCAGCACCACCAGCGTGGGCTTGGGGGCTCTTTCCTCCCAGAGCTCTCCCTGGGCCCCAGAATGGGTAGATGCCCTTCATGGAACAGCCCTGCCCTGCCCGGCAGGCAGCGGGCTCTCGAGTCACCAGGGGAACGTGAACTAGGAGTTGGTTGAGCTTCCGTGTTTTCAGGCCTCACTTCTGTTGCTGGGTGCTGACCTGCAGATGTGACAGTCCCCTCCCCGCCCTACAAAGCTGTTGACGTTTTATTGGGAACCAAGTGTGGGTCTGCGGGTTGGAAGTTGACAGTGGGAGGGGCAGAAACTGTATTTGAGGCACATAATGCAACTGTCTGAGTCACTGCCTGGCCCCTGACCCTTCTGGAAAGTCCCAGGCAGTTCCTGGTGGACAGCAGGGAAACCCTTGATACTATGAACAGCTGTTTCTTTCCCTTTCGCTTCTGGCGGAAACTTCCAGAGCAGGCGTGTGGGGGGGGGTGGGGGGCGGGGAGGGACTCCTGTTCCCTCCAGCAGAGGCATTTTGTATTGTTTTTGAGGTGTTGTTTGAAGTCAGTCACTTTTGGCTCTGGGGCATTTTTCATTCACCTAGAGACCTGCAAAGACCCAGAGGGAGGCGAGCAGTGGGTGTGAGGTCAGGAGCCACACAGCTGCAGAGGCCACCAGGGTCACACCGCTGTGACGGGCAGGCCAGGCCTTTGTGCTCAGTCTCCATGCCTGTCTTCAACTCCAGATCAGACTCCTCGGCCAAGAGGGCACCTGCCCCACTCAAGAATCGCAGCAGTAGCCGTGTGTGGCTGCAGGGGTGTGGCTGCCTGGTCACCTGCCACGCACTGACCTGTGTGATCTCATGGAGCTCTCGCATCCACCAGGAGGCTGTGTCCGTTCTGTAGGCGAAGAAATCAAGGCTCAGAGGGTTGGGCAGCTGCCCTGCATCCACCCTGTTGGGCAGCAGAGGGCCAGGACTAGAACCCAGGTCCACCACTGTCTGGCCCTGCCTCTTCCTGCTGTTGGAGAGTGACCTTGGCTGTCCAGTTGTCATTTGTGACGTGGGGCAGTTGTCCCCTTCACAGACAGGCAGGGCTTACATGAGATCCCATATGAAAAGCGTTTATGAACTGTCAAGCACTGCCCAAATTTTAGCTTTTGGCTCAGAAAGTGAATAGTTGAGCAGCTCTTCTGTAGGGTGGGCCACAGTGTGCCTCCCGTGGGCTGTCATGTGGATCCTGTCAGACCAGTGGCCCGTCCCCGCCCTGGTCTCCGGGCTTCTGCGGCCAACTTGACCTTCCCCTTAGGTTGGAGCAGTGGGAACTCGCTGGTTCTTGTGGTGGTTGGATCAAGTCCCGCCCTCAGCCCAGACAGCCTTCCTGTTGCAGTTTCCTGTTACATGGAATCGTTTTGGTGCATTTCACTGGCTTCCATCGTTTTGGATCCTGGAGGTGGCCTTCCAGTCCCCACCGACTGGCTCCACCATGGCCCAAACCCGTCTTCCTGTTGGTTCCCTGAAAGTCAGGCCCAGCATCACTGAGGACGAGCCAGGTCCAACACCAGGACCACGTAAGCCACTCGGCAACCTGGTGTCCCAGGAAGAGTCTGTGCCTGGGAAGATGCCCGCACGCACAGGGGCCTCCACAAGACCAGAGGCTCCAGCAGGCAGTGCACCTGCCTGAGGGCGTGTGGATCTCAGGAGAGCCCAATACGTGGTGGTTTTCTCTTCCTGTTTATTTTGTATTTTCCGATTTCTGCGTTTGAGTACATTGATTTTATTTCCTGACTTGCTCCTTTTTGTCAAGGGAGTGAAGGTGGCCAGCCCACCAGCCCCGCCTCTCCCCGCTGCCCTCTGTGCGGGGCCTGCTGAGCATCGGCAGCTTCCCAGCCTCCTCCTTCCCGAGCAGATACAGCTCGTGGGCATACAGCTCCTGCTCAGCAGTGGCTGCTTTCTCCTGGAGAGGATGGGTTTCACTTGCCTCCCTGTGCCCGGCCTTCCTCTGAGCTTCTGGACGGTCCCAGAGCATCCAGTAGTGGCCTGTACTGGGGCCTCCGGGGAGGCCTCCTGAACACCTCCACTTGGAGTTTACCGACTCCACCCACCCCACTCCCCTTCTGTCTGTAGCTGCTTCTCAAATCCTCGTTGAAAGAACACGGAGGAACTTTGTCTGTCCGTTTCAGCTTTTCTTCTCCCACCCGTGGCCCTGATTTCTCTAAGATTGTCCTCAGTGAGTCCTGAAACGCATTTGTTAGCTTGTGAGTCTGTCGTCTGCTCCTGAAAGTGCCAGGGTTAGGTGAGTCCTTCCTGCAGGTCCTCCACCTACGTACTGTCCAGGGTCAGCTTTCCCGCCTGAGCCCTCATCTCTGCCTCCCTCCCGTCCTCTCTCATAGTGGGGCTCTGTCCTGTTCACCAGTGACAGCACCGCCCGCCCCGGGCAGCGGCCGCCCCTCCCTGGTCGTCTGTTAGTCTGAAGAGGGTTTGTGTTTGTCTTCTTTCTGAAGCCCATCACCTGAGAACTTTAGGATATTTGCCCCCAGTTCCAGCTCTCCTGACTCTGTTCTTGTCCATGGGGAGCGGGGAGTGCAGGCGAGCCCACCTCTGCCCCTTCCCTGCAGTGGGCCCACTGAGTCCGCTTGGTGGGGCTCCTCCCTCTGGTCAGGATCTGACGGGCAGAAGCCGTCACTGGCTGCACTTCCAGCCCTTGGGCTCCCGCAGGGCGCCAGCACCCCCAGCGTTGTGTGTCTCTTGCTGGCGCAGGTCAACAAGCACGCGTTTTCTGGAGGGAGAGACACCATCGAGGAGCACAGGCAGTTTGGGGGCAACTGCGACGTGGACGTGTCCTTCATGTACCTGACCTTCTTCCTGGAGGATGACGACAAGCTGGAGCAGATCAGGAAGGTAGGACAGGCCCGTCCCGGCCGCCCCAGCTCGCTCCTCGGGACCTGGAGGGCTCCGGCAGCCAGCGGGGGGCAGTCGGCGTTTCCTCGGGGCCTGAGCCCCGGAGAGTGAATGGAGGCGGGGGATTGGTCTGTAGCCATGGGCCGAGAAACCTCATGAACAGATATTCACAAGAGAGACACTGCAGGCTACTCTTTACTTAGTAGCCAACACAAGGGTTTAATCCTTCTGTCAGAGCATCGAAGTTAAAACAGTTCCCCTACCAACCTGGCAGGGTTTGTGCTGCTGTTTCATTTGCAACGATTGTAGACCAGATGCTGCCAGGCTCCCCCCGCACAGCGTGTCCGGCAGCAGCTTGGCCGTGGGATGGAGAACCCCAAGAATGTCCACAGCTGTGCTCGGGTTTCCCAGTTCCCAGGACCTTTTCCAAGGAAGCACCCCTGCTAGAGAAAGAGCCCCTCATATAACAGCGTTCAAAGTGGTCACAGCACAAGTTAGGACCGGCCACACAGCAGAGGCGGGTCATCTAGGAAGTGCCCTGGGGTGGGTGCAGCGGGCGGAGGGTTTCCATGGCAGGACAGTGGGCCTGCGGGAGCGATCAGGCAGACACCAGCGAGGTCAGTGCACACACAGCGAGATCAGTGCACACGCAGCGAGGTCAGCGGACACGCAGCAAGGTCAGGCAGACACCACTGAGATCAGTGCACATTTAGCAAGGTCTGCGCACACGCAGCGAGGTCAGGCAGACACCAGCGAGGTCAGGCAGACACCAGCGAGATCAGTGCACACACAGCGAGGTCTGCGCACACGCAGCGAGGTCTGTGCACACGCAGGGAGGTCAGTGCACACGCAGTGAGGTCAGTGCACACGCAGCGAGGTCTGCGCACACGCAGGGAGGTCAGGCAGACACCAGCGAGATCAGTGCACACACAGCGAGGTCTGCGCACACGCAGCGAGGTCTGCGCACACACAGCGAGGTCTGCACACACGCAGCGAGGTCAGGCAGACACCAGCGAGGTCAGCGTACACGCAGCGAGGTCTGTGCACACGCAGGGAGGCCAGGCAGACACCAGCGAGGTCAGTGCACACACAGCGAGGTCCGTGCACCGCAAAAAACCTAAGCGATGCCCAAACGTTAGCCATGGCCCCGGCCTTGCTGCTCTGGGGCTTGGGTCAGAGATTCAGCGAAGACTTTACAGAAGCCGGTAGGGCTGGCGGAGCTGTCGTTCATTCCCTGTGTTTGGAGTTCAGTTGCACGCAGGTTGGTGAGGCCTCCCCTCGACCCTCTCGCTCTGAGAGGGCAGGAGCGCTCGCGCTCAGAAGGGAAGTGTAATGGACGGGTTTTGTCCCGAGCAAGGCCGTGGGCGGAGCTGTTCTCATGGTGTCTCCCCGCAGGATTACACCAGCGGAGCCATGCTCACCGGGGAGCTCAAGAAGGAGCTCGTGGAGGTCCTGCAGCCCCTGATCGCGGAGCACCAGGCCCGGCGCAAGGAGGTCACGGAGGAGATCGTCAAAGAGTTCATGACCCCCCGGAAGCTGTCCTACGACTTTCAGTAATGCCCATTTATCTCTGTACATAAAGAAGCAAATTTACCCAGAGCCCCAGCCCAATCGAATCACTGCTGTACTTAGGCCGTCACAGCTTCCTGGTCCTGGTGTCGGTAACCCTGTGTCTGTCAGTCCTGTTTCTCCCTGGGCCATCCTTTCCGTCGGGGCCAAACCCTGTGCGCTGCCTGCGCACCGGCGCCAGGGCTGGGCAGATAGGAGTCCCGCTGGTTCTCTCCCACAAGGCACCCCGGCCCGCCCAGAGCCGCCACAGGCGTGCACTGCCAGCCTGTGCCGCCCCGGGGAGCACTTCCACTGAAAACACCCTTCGGTTCCACATAGACCCTCCAAGCCGCTGGTAAGGGAGCCTATAGTCTGCATGTACATTTCAGGAGTTTAATGGGCACAGCCCATCCCCAAAAACCAAAAAGGATTGCCAGCTGTGCATTTAACGGAGAGATCTCCCAGCTTGAGGCTGCTTTTCATACTGAATATCGCCCGAGGAGGCCACTTTTATTAGGTGAGTCTGTGGGAGAAACTCCACATGTGCACTCCAGCCCCACGTGTTCTCTGGCAGTCTCTGCCCCTCTCTGAGCCTCCCCACACCCTCCCAGCAGCTGGCCCCGGGGACAGGCTCTCCACCCTGAGAACCAGCGCTGGGCCCCCTGCCGGCTGCTGAGGGGAGTCTTCGGCCTTTGCAGACACCTTTGTCCTGACACTTGGCTGGCATGGAGGCCTGCACCCTGCCGGTGCCCTGGGCGTCCTGGGCGGTGGAGAGCACACAGCAGCCCCCAGGCTCCAAGGGAGCCGTTCAGTCTTGTGCCCAGTGTAGTCTGGGAAAGCCCTTGTGGGGGTGCAGGGTCCACTCCTGAATGCTCTACCCTCTTGTCACTTGTTGGCCTAAATAAATCTCTGGTCCCGCCTGTGTGGCTGTGTTGTGTGGAGTTTGAGCAGGACAGGGCCCTCTCTTCAGACCCCTGGGTGTGCTACGCCTGCCACCGAGCCGCGGCTGCTCCGCAGATGGCCCTTGGGTCTGCTGGAGTCACAGTGGGGGTGTAGAAGGGGAGGCCCACAGTGCAGGAAGCCCCGAGGCACAGACACAGGCTCCCAGGAACCAGCAGCCCGTCCACCTGTCCCCCCTTAACAGTTCTGGTCTGGACTCACCACTTCCGGTGGAGAATGCAAGCAAAGGTCCTCATTTTGTGCGTGGGATGGTCCAAGGTGGGGCTGTGTAGTGACAGGTGCCAGTCTACCAGGCAACCTGGGCTCACTCTCCCCACTGTCTTCATTTTGTTAAGGGCAGTAAGGAGCTAGGAAAATTCCAGGGCAAGTGGAAAGGGAAACAGGAAAGTTAAAACAAGGCAAAACTATTGGCAGCCAGCTTGTAACTAACAAGCCATTATCTTCCTCAGCCAAGGACACGAGGGCAAATGGTTAAAAGCCTCCCTAATGAGAGAATGCAGGAAAGGAGGGGAGGGGGAAAGGTGAGAGGGGCAGCTTTACTCCCTAAGCAGAGAAGCCAGCAAGGCTCTGCGAGACACAGTTGCCAGGTGCTTCTCGTGAATTCTGGGAAGGCCACAGCAATGTAAAAAGGGACCTTGAGAATTAATTTGTACCAAAATAGTCAGCAGAGGAATTCTGAAACCTGCAGACGGGAGGGTATATAGTAATACCTCGGACCCCCACCCAACCTGCTCTTCCGATTAACTGAGAGCTCACCTGCGCTTCATAAGCCAAATATATATAGGATATATATAGGTTTGCTTCTTTAATGCAGGTGCATGCTTTCATTGCTTTAATAAATTGGCTTTACACAACGCAGTCAAGATCTCATAAATTCATTTATATGAGAAGACGAGGATCGAGGTTGGGGACAGCCCCTCCCACGGACTCAGGGGCTGTCTGGTAACACCTGGTGAGAGGTGCCGCCAACCATTTTGTGAGGTGGCAAAACGGAGGCATAGACAAGGGGAATGTGACGTCCAAGGCCACACTGAGTTTGTTACAAAGCAGCCTGTCCCGACTTCCTTTGCTAAAACCTGTGCGTCGTTAAAGTTCCCCAAGAGACCCCAGGATCAGGATAGACGAGGTGGCCAGCCCAGCAGGTGTCCGGGTGACAGGGTGGTTCTGCCCCTGTGGGCGAGGACTGCTTCCAGGGGAGCTCTGACAGTCGGCGTCCCCTCGCCTCCACGCGTCTCAGTGCCGTGTGGTGGGGAGACCAGCTGAGCTGCACCTGAGGGACAAGCACAGGGAGCCTCCTGCACAGCAGTGGACAGCTGAGTGAGGGGACAGTGGCTGCGTGGCCAGAGGGAGCAGGTGTCCAGGACAGCGCTTCAGAGCCAGAGCGAGAGCAAGGCTCCTGGCACAGGCCTCCAGCGCCTGCAGCCTCAGACGGGCCAGCTCTCCCCGAGTGACAGAGTTATGCCAGCCACCCCCACACGGGCCAGGACACGGCTGAGGGGCCCTGGGTCCCCACCTTTCCTCTCCCCTCTGACATTTCAAGTGCAGCCTGACTCTGACGGCGCAGTTAGTGGGGAGCTGAGCAAGAGACACCTAAAAGCAGCCTGGTGATCAGGCAGGGAGGGCTTCCTGGAAGTGGTGTCAGACGCGGAGTTAGCCAGGCAGAGGAGGGGGAAGGGCGTCCTGCACTGAGCGCAGAGGTAAGCAAACACTTAGTCAGTATGACGCGCAGGCCAGGACAGGACAGTCCACCTACGTGTTCTGGTAATAGGACAGTCCCGGCAAGAACACTGCAAGTTCAAGGACATGGTCAAGGCCGGTGTCTAGGAGGGAGGGAGTGTCGTCAGGCAGGTATTGGCTGACTTCACCCGGGGACTGCTGCAGGGTGGACCCCACAGGTTTGTCTGCACCCGCCAGCCCTGCCCCCGATGGCCCCATTACTGGAGGACATGCGGGGCCTAGGGAGTCCCTCACCCTCCCTGCTGTGTGGCCTTGAGCAGCCCCGGCTCCCTCTCACCTGGCATCAGGCTGTTGTGATACGCTGTGTAAGGCGCCTGGCACCCAGCAGTGTTCAGGAGACAGACCCCCGTGCAAAGGTGGCACACAGCCTAGTGTCCGGGCACCAGTGGGGCCAGGCAGCTGGCTGGGACCCAGTTTTCTTCAGAAAGGGGATAGATTTGAGATGGGGTGGCGAGGAGAGCAGGTGCCGTGCCGAATGCTGAACAGCCCGCTGTGGCAGGGGTGAGCCCGCAGGCCAGGCCCCAGTCCCAAAGGCCGAGGGAGTGGAGCCAGCGAGTGCTGGGCTCGGCCTCACTGCCCATTCGCGTAGTGGGAGCACTGGCCACACAGGTGTGGAGAGCTTGGCCTCAGGATGAATCGAAGGCGGAGACACTGGTCACCAGACCACAGCGCAGCACCACGGAGCTTCCTCAGGAACGTTTAATTGGCAACAGTCCCCCTCCAAGTGCACAGGCAGAGGGGGTAGCACGACCTGCCCTCACACCAGCTCGCCAGGCCGCCGGGCAGGGCCTCTGAGGTGGGGAGGGACCAGGTGAGCTGCATCTAAGGGACTTGGGTGCCCTAAGTAGCAGGGGCTGAGTGGGTTGGGGTGGTGGCCCAGAGGACAGCTGAGTAAATGGTGGTGCAGACACGGGGTGCTCTGAAGACACAGGGCGGGGAGGCTGGAATGGACAACTGACCACCTGCACCCAGGACCATGTGACAGATGCCTTCACCCAAGAGGCCGCTCCTTCCTGGCTCCTGTGACCCTCAGGCCAACCCAGCTGGTAACATGGCTTTGACCTTCTCTGCTCTGTAGCTGGCGGACCACGCCCAGGCCCCAGCTGCCTGTCTTCGGGGTGGCTCCCCGCTGTCCTGGGTGACCACCCAGTGGGGACACTCCCCTTTGCCTCCTCTAGCTACTCTGACCTGTGGAAGCTGCCGGTGGGCTGGTGTAAGAGACAGGGCAAAGGTGTCATGTAAAGGACATGAACTTGGCTTGCACCCCAGTTCTTGTGATCTAGGCAAGCAGACTTTTGTCATAGCAACTGTCATACATAGATGGATCTAGACAAAGCTTGCCCAGTCTTGCCCAGCTTGTAACGATCTGCTACTTCCCCATGATAGGCCAAGCCCTAGCAGTGATCTATGAAGCATGACCAGCCACAACTTAGCTATAAAACAGTGTGTGTAAAAAATAAAGTTGCTGGTGCTGGTGCCTTGTGCCAGTCCTCCTAAGCCCGGTCTCTGGTGCTTTCATCCCACGCCACCTCTACCCTGCGGGACCCCTTGGGAGCGGGCCTCCACAGGCTGGGCCCCCGAGCGGTGGGACAGCTACTTGAACAGGCCCCGGGTGAGCCTCAGTGCGGCTTCGTAGCCGACGAAGACCACCATGTTGACGGGGAAGGCACGGCAGCAGTTGAGCGTCAGCCCCTTAAAGAGGACCCGTGGCCCTTCCTCCCGCACACTGGTCACCACGCAATGCAGGAGGCCCCTGTAGCGCTGCTGGCCCTGCCCGTCCACCTGCAGGCGAGTCTTGATCACGTCCATGGGGGTGGCCACAGCCCAGGCCAGGACCCCTGCGCAGCCACCGGCCAGCAGCACACCCAGGACATCTGCAGGGGGAGACCCACGAGGGAGCACCTTGATTAGAGGCGGATGGAGGCCCCAGAGGAGAGTGGGTGGGGCTCCCAGGGCAGGGCCCAGCCCTCAGGAAGCCCTGGGCTCATTCCACCAATGTGACTCATCCCAGGCCACACTGAGGGAGTCTGTCCTGACCCTCAGCGTCGAGAGCACTCAGGTTCCCACCCTGGGAGGCTCTGGGGTAGCAGTATGCCACCTGACTCAGTTCCCCCTTCCGGGCCCCAGCCCCCACTCACCTGGCTGGCTGTGGCCAGCAGGGGTGAGCCACTCGCTGAGGATGGAGTAGGAGAGGAAGTAGGTGGCGAAGGAGTGGCCCTCCCGGAGGAGCAGGGCCGAGCTGCCCTTGTAGAGGCCCCGCAGCCCCTCCTCACGGGCCACCGTGGCCAGGCAGTGCAGCGGCCCCCGGTACTTGGGCCCAGGCACCTGACTTGCAGGGGGTGCGGGACACATGGGGGGCACCGCCGAGGGCCATGAGGCCGAGGACCTCCGCCTCTGCTGCATCTGCGCCTGCATCTGCGTCTGGGTCTGGGTCTGCAGGCGGACCTTGGCCACCTCGGTAGGCGAGGTCAGGAACACCTGGAGCGGAGACGCAGCCATAGAAGGCGCCAGCACTGCCCACACACCCTGGACCTGGCCTCCCGTCAGCCTCCCGCTACCCACAGTGACATCGGGGGACCTGCGCCCCATGAAGATTCAGGCTGGCCCACGGCCCTGGTGGAGCGGCGTTCAAAGCTCACCCAAGCTCAAGCTAGCACCTTCCAGGGGTCCTCAAACTACGGCCCACGGGCCACATGCAGCCCGCCGAAAACATTTATCCGAAATAAGATATGTGCAGTGTGCATAGGAATTTGTTCATAGTTGTTTTTTTTTTTTTAACTATAGTCTGTGGGGTGTCTGAGGGACAGTGAACTGGCCCCCTGTTTAAAAAGTTTGAGGACCTCTGATACACACTCGTCCAGCACAGAGCGGACTCCACACACAGTAGGTGTCAGGTAAGTGGCTGTGACTCCAATTCATGAAAGCATTTAATCACATAATTAGTATGTCAATGACATATTACCGTATGACTTAATTAATGTAAGTACTTAATATAAGAATAATAAAACAAAGTATTTAATAACATTAATATGTAACATAACATTACTGATAATGTTGTTTGCATTTCATGGGTGCTCATACCTGTCAGACTTGGTGTTAGGGGCTTTACATGTGACCTCACTTAGTCCTCATCGAGACGCCTCTTACTGATGAAGAGTCAGAAGTTCAGGGAGGCTCCCTGGAGTCCTCAAGTTCCCTCAGCTGATGAGACTCAGCTGAGTTCTCACCTTCAGTCCCCCAGCTTCCATCCAGCCTCTGCCCTCACGGAGCTTCAGTTTCCCTGCCTTCTGGGCTTAGGGACCTCTCAGGGCCTCCCCACCCCTGGGGTCCCGGGACCCCACTCACACGGACGAGGCCAGAGGCGAAACCCGAGAGCGTGATGTCGGTCCTGGCGGGCTTGGCGTCGGCGCTGCCATACCGGAACCGGCAGATGCGTGTGAGGCAGTTGTGGTAGGTGCCGAAAGACAGTGACGAGACCAGGGACACTGTGCTTATGGGCAACAAGAGGCCCCTGTAGAAGCCCCTCACCTGGTGGACAGATGGACGGGACCCCAGGACTGCAGTCAGGCCAGAGGTTCGGCCAGGAGGATGGCCCTGGTCTCACCCCTGCAGGCCCTTCCTGGCTATGGGACCTCAGGCAAGTCACTTACTGCCTCGGGCCTCAGTATCCTGGGCTGTAAAATGGGGCTCAGAGTGCTCAACTTGAGAGATTGTGATGAAGAGACAGAGGGCCAGGCTGGACCCAGGGCAGCCACTTGATGATGGAGCTGAGGAACTGGCATGCTTCCTTGTTGCTGTTTTCCTTTGGCCCCTCCCTGGCCAGCACCGAGCCCCAGGGTCGCTTTGGTAAATGTCCCTGTCCCCCCTCTGGACAGCTCTCTGTCCTGGACCCTGGGGACCTGACAACTCCACCCTGAAGAGGACAGAAATGCCCACACATGGGTCCCCCCCATCGTCAAAGTCCCCAGACACCCACCCCCTCTAGACCCTCTCCTGCATGCTGGACACCCAGTCCTGGGCCTCAGAGGAATCCAGAGGTTGGTGCAATTATTCCCATTTGGAAGTGAGAGAACCGAGGCTCAGAGAGCGGTGAGTGGCAGGCCTGGGGCCTGAGCCCCGACACCCCCTGCCCGTCCTCCGGGCCCCAGGCCTACCCGCTCTCGCAGATACGTGTCCCGGACGCAGTGCCAGATGCCTGTGTACTTGGGCTCCGTCTGGATCTTGACCTGTGGGAGAATCCGGCTTCAGGAAGGGGTCAAGGTCAGGGCAAGGACAGCAGGCCTGGGGGAGGGGAAGAGCCAACTCCTTGGATGTCACGGCCGCGCTCTCAGTGGCAGAGAAGGGACAGTGAGCCCCATGTAAGAGGAGGAACCAGAGGCTGGAAAAGAGGGGCAGACTGTCCGGAGGCGGGTGG